ACGTAACCGTAACCGTACGTAACCGTAACCGTAACCGTAACCGTAACGTAACGTAACGTAACGTAACGACGAACGACGACGTACGACGACGACGAGAGAGAGAGAGAGAGAGAGAGAGAGAGAGAGAGAGAGAGAGAGAGAGAGAGAGAGAGGAAAATAAAATGAATTATTCTAGAAAATGAGAGAATTTGCTAACGCTGAAGAAAAATGATTTGCACCAAACACTCCCTGCAAATCACAAACTAGTGATCCTTCCTGCAAAGAAAGACAAATGGTTACTTCTTTTAAAAAAAACAGATAAGACACAGATCTACAAAATCCATAAATTAAATATCACATATGCTTGCCACTATGGAATCAAATTAAGAGAAGACTAAGGGCCAGCTTCTCGCCAGTAAACAAGTGTTATAATGATAAAAAATAAACAGTAAACACATGTTCTAATATCTTAAGTCCACACATAAAAACAAAAAGTGTGCATTTTCAGGTAGAAAATAGTACTAGAACTCATGAGCTGAAAGGCTAAAATGCAGAACATATTTGCACAGATGATCCCTTAAAGAAAGCAAACACATGCCTTCTTGCTAACAATACAATGAAACCAAGTACTCATGTATGAGCAATCTGAAACCATCCAAGAAACTCAGCTAAACACATAAATTTTCTACTGGTAATCGATAGCACCCATTGTATCATAAAGCCATAAATAATAACTAGCACAGTGAAACAATATCTTCAGAGCAGTGTCCATAAAGACCAAAGTACTAAATCCAAAAGCAAAATGGCCTGATAAAGATTTTATGATTTCTCCTACTAAAAAGAATGCAACATTCCGACTAAAGAGTAAGGACTAAAGATTCTATATCAATGAGTAAATTATAATAATTGGCAATGATCAGAGCCTCAGAGGCGATATAAATATAATTACAAATCTAAAAACCACACCAGCTCTTCCCACTGAATCGAATATATAATTTTAAACAATTTAAGCATTCGATGATCATCTATTTATAAAAAAATCAAAGAACATTACAAAGAAAAATTTGAGAGTAAAATGTCTCAATTTGCATCTCCATATGTTCCCATTGACAAGCCAATCATACTTCTATGAGTAAGAACAATGAATAAAGCTGCTCAATAGACATTATTGTGAATAAAAAGGGTCAAAGAGAAAGAAAAGAGAATGAGATAGAGGGAGAGAGAGAGCAAAAAAAGCATGCAGCTATTAGATTTCGAATATTATGAGCCACATAATCAATATTGTTATTGCTACCAAAATAAAAATTAAAAATCCAAATTTAATGTATTTGACGGTGAAATATGAAAGATGAATACCGATATACACTGATCAATGAAAACAAAAAAGAAAAGAAACAATCCATCATCAAAATAACAACATATAATCGCTCAAGAACCCCCAAAAGAACATAGTTTAAGAAAATAATAATAAAGGATCAATTGCATAGTTCATTCATACCTTCAATCTGATCAAAAATAATTCTTCAGATCTAACCAGGGGAATCTACAGCCCAAAGAGCCAGTGCAAAGAAATACAAAGATTAATGGCTATGACTTTCCAGAACCCAAAAAGAATTGTCCTCTTTTCTACTCTTTTCTTTTGGATGTGTTGGTCTGATTCTAGAGAGAGAGAAAGAAAGCTAGAGAGAGAGAGAGAGTTTATTGAGAATACTCAAAAACCAATTTGGAGAGCCAAAATAAGAAGTCCTAGGATAAATAAGCAGAGAGGAGAGAGAACCAAAACCCTTAGAGCTTTACCCCAGGCCAAATGTAGCTTTTAACTATGGTTTGTATTGGAACAGGAGATAGAAACAGCCGTAAAGAGATAGAAACACCCACGTTAGAGAGAGAAACTCCCATTTTTAGAGAGAGAAACCGTCCTCTTGGTGCTCCATGTGAACATGCCACCATTAGTGTGGTGATTATCAAGCATTTTTGCATATTAAGGTAAAAATGAGGCTTATAAAAGCATATCTCCTTTGATTATTAGTGAAGGACTAAAGTGCCCTTGGCCCTTTCCATAGATCACTAGGCACCTGACCACTATTGCCAAGAGACCTCTCTCTCAAATGACCAATATGCCCCTTGAAGCAAACAAGCATTTCCAAAGTATAGGTGTTGTGGGATTCAGCAATTAGCTGGTGATAGGTTTAATTAAGTCAAAATTGGTGAGGCTGCCGGTCTAACATGTTGAACCAAATGTTAAAAAATATAAAAAATAATAATGGTAATAGTATGAAAATGTTATATGTATAGAAAAAATTTATATGGAGCCGAGGCTTTAAATAATCAAATTAAAACCCACCTCAAAATAACTCAATAAAAAATATTGTTTTGAAGCTCAAATATAATCAAATTCATCATCTCGACATCAAGATGTATGGAAATGAGAAAAAAATGGATTTCAAGTTTTGGAAATAGTGCATATTGTAACACATTTTTTTACCGTCAATTTTCAAGATTTTCAAGTTTTATAGATTTGCTCGATCTACACTAGTTTTTAAGCTTTAAATTTTATAATTAAAGATAAAAGTATATTAAGGCAAAGATTTCTAGTATTGAAACCATATTTCTCAACACTATTTGAAGGTGCATTTTACTTTGATTGTTTAGAGCCTCAACTCTATACAAACCGCTCCCTATATATATATTACATAAAAAGCATACCACTTTTGTTTAATAATTCTAGTCAAAACCGGTGTTGAACTATACATAAAATAACAAATATTAGTTTTGACTAGTTTTTTACTAAAATCTATTTTACCTTTAACCACACTAGCTAGGGCACCGGTCGATGGTTACCAGTCTAATTGGCTAGTTTGGTTTGTCGTGATAAATATTCCAAATTCAAAAGGAGTATGGAATTATATAGACTATGGTAAGAATTATATACCTCTTTTCTTCTTTTGAATGCTAACTTGGGACCTAATTATAATGCAACATTAAGTATCACATTCTAGCACCTCTCACCTTGACTACCTATGTCTAGAGCCCACTCTCATATTTACCTATTTTGTTTATCCATGAGCGTTGGTGCTTCTTTGGCACAAACAGTTGCTCACCTTCACTGCCCATGGAGACACACACATATATATTGGATCAAGAACCTGGATGCTACATTGACACTGAGTATAGAATAGCATGGTAATATGGCGTACACCACAATGATATCTACCATCCAATCCATATGCCGGTGATGGTGATGATTAAGTGTGGCTTTTGGTGATGTATACTCATTGGATACTAGGAGTGAACGGCTTCGATTGATGCACACTATTAATGCACAGTATGTTGTTCAATATATGCATGTCAATTTGGAAATTTTAAATGTGTTTGTTGAATTGCCTCAGGGGGCAAACTAACAAGACCTTGACAAAGATTTCTATCTTTTAAACTTGATCGTTGTGCATATTCTTTTACGGAAGTATAGTTTATCTGGTAAAAGGGCTTGGCTCGTAATAGTAGCATCCCAACACCCTAGTCATCACGTCGTGGTTTGCATTCTTAGTGATACCACCCCACTAACATCTTAAAAAATAAACTCCTTAGCTATTTGAAAAAACAGGTAGGGGCTGTCTTCCCCACTGAATTATCCAAAAAAATATTATGGTTTTTTATAAGGGAGTGTATCACTCAAAACTATGGAATGGGGTTGAGGTTGTAGTGCACCACTGGAGTCACAGCCATCGGTTTAGGTTATCCACACCTTCATATTTGTAGACACAAGAAAAATTAATCTTGAACTATAAAACTGATAAATGTTGCAATGTATTTTCAAGATTTTTTATTTCAAGTTTTTGCAAATCTATCAAATATGCTATATTTTAGAGCTTCAAATTCTATTATAAAAAATGAAACTAGATTTACTAATACTCGAGCAACTACTTTAAATAGAGTTTGGATATGTCGCGGGCACACTCTTTATTGTAATAATTTCACACAACAGTTGTCACAGGGACAAAGTGGTCATTCCTGAGAAATAATGGGTGATTTTGTTCTTCATTTGGGGCAAAATGTCATTTTATTAATGCTTGGTGTGCATCACCCTCTATCATTGTGCATAATAAATATTGAAAAGGCATATGGGTATATGTGAAAACTCTTGTTTCTTGCCGTAGAGGACTACCTTACCCAAACCATGCATGAACCTAACACCCTAAAAAACCCTAATTTGGTCATCATCCCCATGCCTAAAAGCAGCCATCGCCTCATTTATGTTACCATCCCTGTCCATCTACCATTTTTTTAACCAAAGAACAAAGGCTGACCACAATAATGGCAAACCGTTTGATTTATACTCCCTCTAGAAGTGTACGTTTGGAATATTCTAATCTTGGGTCATAAATTTTGTATTCCTATGGAGTACACTATATGCTTACTCCCATGGGGGCACAATACCTGCTTGGGAAGATTTTCCCATTCTAAAATTTGGGGATCTAGTTTTTTGTTTTTTTGGGGGGTGGGGAGGAGTATCTATTTTAAAATAGTCAGATGAGTGTGTTCAAAAAGAAAAATCAAATTTCGAGTTTCTAAATACTTGTATCTGACCATCCAAAATTTTAATGGTCTCGACAGGATTGAGACATTTCCTTACCAAGTACATACGTAGTGCATTTGATATTTTTTTTCTTCCTATAATATTGTTGGAGTTTACATGCCCAAATTTAGGTTCCTAAAAGTTATCCTCAAATAATACTGAATGGATGAATATATGGTAGCATATAAATTATTCGGTTTGAGCATAACGACCATGACCAAACCTTGAAGAGAAGTGGATTGATTCCTTTCTTCTTTCCATCCAATTGGGTTAGAGAGGATTCAAACCTTTGGACAGTGTTTAATGACTTTG